CGCAATCCGAGCTGTGCTTCGATGTGTGTGTGTGTGTGTGTGTGTGTGTCGATTGTCCTCGCCCGCACCCTCTCTCCTCTTTTCACCTGTGGAAAAATTGCAACGATGCGCGCACTTTTCATTCTTCGACCCGGTGTTTCATCGCGGCAGGAAAATTAAACAAGCCTTTTTTTTCTTCTTCCCTACGGAATGGAAAAATAATAAAAGATCGCCCCCCCCTCCTTCCCGTGCGCGAGTATAAAAATATTTTTAATGACGACACCGAGCTGCCACTGCTGCGCTGGAAAAGAAATAAATAAGCACCTAAGAAAATTATTTTGAGGATTGTTTTTTTCAATCCTCGTGTGTACGTATCGTCTTCTCCGTCGCACAATGTATTTTTCCGTAATTAGAATAGCCGCGTAGCGTACATATACCTAAGTATAATTACCAGGAAGACACACACACACACACACACAGAGAGAGAGAGAGAGAGAGAGAGAGAGAGAGAGAGAGAGATACACATAGAATATTATATACGTATGATGTAAAAATGCATTGCAGAATCGATTATGCAATTAGATGCAGGCCCGAGCACGAGTAAATATGCACCGAAAGAACGAGAGAGAGGCCAATTAAGCGTATGACGACTTTTCAGCGCAGCTGAGAAGTAGGATCGATAATTAATCCAAATGGGTATGCTTCGATAGGTGGAAAGTCAACCGATTAATGCCAATTATAATAATAACGGTGCTCGTATAAGTATGTATAATATCTTTCGGGTGAATCAAGGGGCGTTCGCTCTTTTTGTAGGAAAAAAAAAAGTTGTTGCACTATACTTATACAACATGGCTATTCCATAATCACCTTTCTTATACAATGTATATTCCCACTCACCGCACGCGATCTGAGCCGAAAATCGGAAAATCCTTTCCGGCACCGTGTGGTTATCATGTGTACGGAGGTTAGCTCCGGCTGGCAAGCCTCGACGGCGCGGCGGCAGTGAAACACACGCCGCCGTTGCTGCATCGATCGATATAAATTATATCAAAAACTGCTGGCCCTTGCGCGCCGCAGCAGCTGCCTCCTTTTCCTCCCTCTTTCTTCAACAGGAGGCTGTTGACCATAACGCACGTCTTCTACGTAAACCGATAAACAGCGCCTTCCTAAATTTTTCATCAATAAATACCTCGAGTGGGTAAGTACGTGCAGCCACCACGCGTCCCGCAAGCTAATCCTTAAATACCAGGGGCATTAGGAGGCAAACGGCCCCTGTGTTCGCGAATCGTTTGCATTCGCGTTAAGCAACACCGTAACACTCGTTTGTCAGCGGGGAGAGCTCAAACGCGAGAAATTAAATACCGGGCGGGGCAGGGGGGGGGGAGGTGAGTCTGAGAACTGTGAACAATCGCGACAATTCCTTGGGACTCGGCTGCTGCTTGCTTTCCGTTGAATATCTCGGAAATTGAGGCGATAACTTTTTGCCGCCGTAAATTCGCGAGCCCACTACTTGGGCGACGATGCCTGCGGAATCAAGAAAACAGCCTACACTTACATCCACGAGAAAATCTCCCCACGTAAAGGTGGTGCTGGATCATAAATGCCGTAGGCAGATTTGGTCACAGTCATTACTCGTATCCTAATACAATACATACGTTATACTTGTAGGAAAAAATAATATGAGCAATATTCTGAAAAAGTTAGCTCAAATGTTTTATTTAATGAGCTTTGCTATCTAAAAAAACTTTATCGTTACATTTCTTAAGGAAACGATTTTTTTAAATACACCACGGCTGTATTAGTGTCAATGATATAAGAAAAAAAAAAAAAAAAAAAAAAATAATCTCCAGCAATAATAATGCATTGCACGCTACTCTGAAAAAAGTACTTGAAAATCAATAGAGTAATCGTTCACAAGTCATATATGTATACTTGTACAGCTAGCAGTTTTTGTCAGAACTTTTCTGCTGCTGCTGCGTGTAAGTGTACTTATTATCACGCGAGCGAAAAAAAGTGTACAGTTGTTTTTTTTTCTTTGTTTTTTTTTCTCTTCGCTAACGACTGCACCTGACTCGATTCGTTGTTTTCAACATTTAGCAACTATTTGCTTACATATCACGCGCGCGCGACGCAGCTCGAGTAAAAAATCATCACTGGACTCTCATTCCTCATATGCTTGATTAGACACACAGCTTGAATCTCAAACTATGTAAGCGGGCCTGCGTGCCTACTATTTCCGCCAAATGTAAGGCAATGTATTAAGCTTTGGCTATTAAGGACCCTGAGTCCTTAGCCTCAATAAACTATTCAATTCAATTCAATTCAATTCCCGGAACGCAGAGCGCAATAATCAACCGACTTATGATTGTAACTGTACTTTTCATTATAATCGGAGTTATCCGATCGCGCCATAAAAATATGAGTGTTTGAGTAAACGTCAGCTAAATGAAACCACAAATGGTATAAGTAGAGTGTGGCTCACTAAACTTGCGGCGCGTTCGTACATGAAAGGAAAGCGTCGGTTTGTTCGCATCTAAATGAATGGCCGAACAAAAAATGCATTTATGACAAAAATCACCAGGTCTCTACCGCCATACCTATACCTGAGTACCTGATGTACGATGCAAACTCTCACCCAAGTGAATTTCTTATAATATGTACAACTAATAAATACTTTCTTACTAGAGGTCTCCCTCGCGATTTATGCCCTGATGCATTTTTTATTTTTGCCATTCCGAGCCAAAACGTAAATCCGCTGCAATTACTTTTTATTTTTTCGCACCCACGGTCCAGCCATCCATCCATTTCTTCTTCTACATAAACCATTTATTATCGGCTCGAGTGTGGAATACACATCACTGCACCCTGTTCGTTTGACCCGGTCCCGATTTTTCACCCAACCTTGATCTCTGCGTTACAATTTTCTCAAATTTTCGCCAAAACGTCTTCCAAATCGAGATAAAATTCACGTCACACGACGAATTATTCAAGTTAACAGTGTACCGCGAGAATAAAAAAATAATACAAGGCAGTCAAGGAGGGGAGGGGAGGGTGAAGGAAAATGGCGCTCCCACGCGGAAATGCGACGTTTGAGGAGCAAAGTGAGAAAGAGATGCTCGAAAGGTTTCGTCCTTCGCGCGGTTGACGCGAATCTCGTAAGCAAGTACACTGAAATAGAAAAGTATGTATACCTAATAACACAAAGTACGCGTAGGTAAGTATATATAGGTGTGTATGGACGGTGACGTTGCGCACATGGCAAGGGACGGCCAAACTCGGGGCTAAACCGGCTGGAAAAATCCCCACACATGAGCTACGCTGTAGGAAAGGGATTTCGTTTTACCGGAAATTTTACGAGTTGGGCGATCTTTTACAGCTTCCGAGGAGGGGGAGCATCGATTTTTGTTTACCCAGCCACTGCGCCGATATTTTCTCCTTCCGCCTCTTAATGCTTTGCTATATACATATACCCAGCTCGGCCTCGCCGTTCTGTATCGGAGGGGAACGGGGCTGGCCGGGGGATGGTTACCGATGATATTCAATGTCGACTGCTTTTTACCTCGCTCCTTTTTGCAGAGCACAGAGAGAAAGTAGGTTGCCCGTATAGTTATAAATAAACCGGCATCCCTTAAAACTCTGCAAGTAGAGAAGCAGCAGGAAGTTTCACGCGACGAATAATTTTGTATGTAATTTCAATAAATTTTCTTCAGAACTCGAGGGTATAACTCATAGTGCAGTCACCATTATATTCCTGACTGTAATTTCTTTGCAAGAGACCGGCTTGAGAGAGAGAGAGAGAGAGAATGAGGAGATAAGCAGTTAATTTTTTTTTTTAATATAGGTTATATATTATATTTCCCTGCTGTGATGGCGTAGTTCAACTTTTCGAGCCCCTCAATCTATGTTATACGCGTGAGTATAATAGTTTATCACACACGTCCGAAGAGTCGTACCATCGATGATCTGCAGACGAGGAATTTCAGTTAATAATAATTTTTAAGCGAATGTTACAGAGAAATAGTAAAGTCGTTAAAGTCAAGACGTATTTTCCTTTTCTCTTTTGGGAAAATCATTGGCGAATACAACGTACTTTTTTTTCTTTCCCGCAAAGCAGTTTCAACGGGAGAACCGAGCTGTGCGCTGAACAAAACGAGCAAAGTAGATCACAGCGGCAATTTGACGCACGCAAGACATACGGATAATACACGCTCGAATTGATACTGATTCGCGAGATAAATGCAATTTTAGCAAAAACTTTCGACAAACAGTAACAAAAGCGTGCACATTTTGCCGTAATTGTGCAACTTGGAAAAAACAAAAGTTGATTCGATGCTCCAAGTAAATCGGCGGATTTCCTGAGTTCGATCCACCGTAAAATCCAAGTTTCCTCGGGAATATCTCGCAAGGTCGCAATATATCTACCCTAAAAAACGCGAGCGAGAACTAAAAAAAAAAAAAAAAAAAAAAATCTAAACAAGGAAGACAAAGACGTAGGCCGTGTATGTACGTGCGACGGAGGGTAGTAAAATTGTCAAATCCCAGGAGCCCCGATTTATTAGAGTTCCCATCCCCAAGTTTTCTCGCATCATTCTTTCCGAGTCGATAGCAGCTATACGAGGCAACCGCAAGCCAGCCAGTCACTTCCTACAGGCTTGTATGTGCTCTTGCAGCTGCACGCGAGTAGAGTAAGCTACACATGTATATGGATAAAATGTACGGACGTAATATGGTACAGGAGCCGGCAGACAGACGTACTACAAATGAAAGGTATACCTAAGAGAGAGAGAGTACATAATAGTATAGCACGAGGTATAGTACTTATATAATATAAGTACAGTGTATACATGCGTTTTGAAAATACCCAAACGGAGAAAACAAGGACATAATATTATTATTATCACGACCGGATCGTAACGAAATCCCTCTTGTGACATTCCCTTGCGCCCGGTTACCGTGTAACATACACCTTAGCTGTATATTCCTGCAGCAGTCAGACAGTTGGATGCATGTATAATACAAAAATGCATGGTAGGTATACAATAGTAATAGTAATAATAATAATAATAGTAATAATTATAGTAATAATAATAAGTATAATAATAGTAATAATAAAAAAAATAACAATAATAGTCCTTGGGCTGAGGCAGTCAGCCTATGAGAAGCGTGCTCTCCAGGTGGTGGATGGAGGCAGGCTTTCCGCGGGTATATGATTTCAAGGCTCTCCGGCGGTCAGAACTTGTACCCGTGGATTGCTAGGATTAAGTAAAATAGTTCCCATGGACCAAAACTCCAAAGAGAACAACTCGTAAAAAAATCTAGGGTAAGTGTCCGAATAAACCTACGGTGGATGACACTAATGAGAACTTCGTACCCCCGGTGACAGCCTCTCCGAGGTAATCTGCCGCCAGTTCCGACCTGATAAAAGCCCGGGTGACTGGTGTTGGCCTTACAGATTCTGGGGGAGGCCACATAGGCGTCCGGAATAAAAGAGAGGAGACAACCTCTGATAAAAAACGCTCACAAAAGGGTCTCACATTTCTGCCCAGCCATGAACGAGACAAGCAGCTGAGCACTGGAAGCGGAGCAAATGACGCCAGCTCTGCCAGCTTTTCCAGCAATAACACCGAGATGGATCTGGAATATCCTTCGTTCACATCCTAGATCTTTTTCTTAAAGTTAAAGAAGTGAAGGACAGAGAGGCCCTGATTTACAGTATTACTCAGACCGTTAAGGGTCTTGAATCTGTTAAAACAGAAAAGAAAAGGGTAACGCTTGAAATCCAAGATCAGGATCCGATTACCAAGAAGGTTGACGTCAAACGTGCATTGAGTAGAAGTCCAGGTTTCTCGTCACAGATAAGAACATTGATGCTACTCGAAGCAAATAATAATGGGCAGAAGGTAGCTTTAGTAAATACTGGAGGGATGTAGACTTACATAGCCGTAGTTAACAACAGAGCATTGCCATATACGAGCCAGAGCAGATGTATACCGAATTCTTAGCAAATTTGTGTCAATATAACTTTAGTTAATACATGTATTTTGTTATTTACGCATGTGTTTTATTATTCAGTACATCCATTAAATAAACTACATTTGCAACGAGGATAAAAACGTATTCCTAATAAAAAAGCGACTTGCACCTCAAATTGTTATCTCATACCTTATATGAAGCACCGAGGTGTCTCATATATAATATTAATCATCTGAGATGATATTTGCACCAGTTGTCGTATTAGTTAAAATACATTGGAACCAACAAAAAAGAGTTGTCTGAATCCACGGCTTAAGAAATAATAACCTTAAAAAAAATCGTTGGTAATATTTAACCATTTGTTTGAAAAATGTGAGTTAGATCTGTAGATCAAAAGGTTAGACCTGTACTTTAAAAAAACAGAGTATGAAATCAGAGAAAAGTTTTTATTTGTGTAAAACATTTTCTGTAATGCTACTAAGAAGTTATTATTAAGGTAAGAAAGTTTAACATATGACATGGCAGTGAAACAAGCTCTGGCCATGGAATCAGCAACAAGGGACGCGGAGGACATGATTCGATGAGAGGAAAGCGTGATATATTTTGTCAAAGGCAAGAATCCCATAGCAAGGAATGTAAACAGCACATCTAACAGTTTAAAGAGTTTTACAGGTAAAGTGGAGTTTTTTTATGGGTATGCGGATTACATAGCAAAAAACTATAGGCACAGAGACTATATATGTAAAGTATGTTATGAGAAAGGACATTTAGTGCTTTTATATAATTAACGTTTAGATTTTAGCCAAAGTTACAATATTAAATTGTGTAGCGATTATAAAAGAGGAGAAAATCATTTTGTTGATGATAAATAATACGCGATCGTTGTTATAAGACCAATACAGGTTAAAGTATTTTAGCTACATTAGAAAAATTTTATTCTTAAAATTTTAAAAACATAAAATTAGTCTCGACGACCTTTTTGACTTAATATACTATACGGGTAGTAAAATGTAATATTATAGTATACTAAACCTGTATAGTAAGATACAATATACTATACGGGTTGAAGTATAATACCTTTAAAAATTCTGCATGTTTTGGTTACACATAAGGGTTGTGTATTAAATAATGAGCTGTTTGCTTCACCAGAAAATAGTACTTCCATCATGTGTGAAATTTNAAAAAAAAAAATTAAATTTTTAATTTTGTCTTTTAATGCGGGTCAGATGAATGATGGTTATACTGTTTTTTTTCTGCGATTTTTTCGAGTTTTGAGGGACAATTTTTTTAGTTTTTGATTGATCACCTACTCGACGTAAAATCCAAAAGCAATAAATTGACTTTAAGCATAAACAAAGAAGAGGTAAAAAAAACTCAGTGGTATTCATTAAACTCATCAAAGAAGTTCGAATAATAAACAGGTGTGATAAAACGTGACTTTCAAAAATTAAATGTTTGACAAAGCCGGGTTAATAAAATTACAGTTGTTGATTTATATCCCCTGGAGAATATTAAAAATTTCATTTCGTAAAATTGAACGAGAATTGAACTACAAGCCGCTGAAATAAAGAATTTTGATTTATTTTGTAATAAATTATGATAAATATATGCACACACGCAAGAACATTGTACAAACAATGCCGCACATTTTGTTAACGATAATGGCATGGGTAAACTCGTATCTCTATATGGACAACAGATGATGCTAACACTTGATCCTTCGATACAATATGATTTCGATAATTGTGATTGTCTTTTGACTTTGAGTTGGTTTAAAGTTATGTATGGACAAAACGTGGGTCATTCAATTCGTGTATATAAACATAGCTTGCATCACAACGTATATAGTGTCATGATCTCTGGTACGGCGACAACTTAAATATAAGATATCATTTGCTATTAAGTATGATTATTCGGTTGAGTTGAGTAAAGAAATGCACGATTGTTTGAATTCTGTAGTTATCCAACAATACCTGTTGAACATTTTCTTGGGGTAGTACAGTTGAGCTTTGGTTTTTTTCAACCATACTCCTCCCGTTGGTTATTTTTTCCCTAAATATAACTCCAGAATTGTTAAGGCAATACCTCTGCAAGGGCAAGGGCTCCGACGCATAATCGTAAATCACCACTCGGTAAGTTGGACGAGTTGAATTTTTATTCGCTCGCATCGCGCCCTGCAGGGCCCATTGCGAGAAGGAGCGCGAACACGAGCGATAAGAGAAAAATAAGCGAAATGGATCGAGGGGGAAGGAGTCGTATAGGATACGAAAAAGAGGAGGAGGGAGAAGTTGGAAGCGGTTTCTGGGGGCTGTGCGAGTGACGGCAGTGGATTCCTCGAGCCATTCTACCGGAAGAACTTTAATCAAAGAGCATCGAGAAGAAAGAGGAAGGTGGACGACAACCCAGGAGAGAACGGGAAAGACCTACTTTTAGTCCATTTCGAGCTTTTTACGCATTACTTTCTCCTTTCTTTTCTTTCTTTCCTTTTTTCTTCCATCTCCAATCATTTTTATTTTTCTCTTCTTCTTCTTCTTCTTCTTCTTCTTCTTCTTCTTCTTATACTTCTACTTCTTCTACCCTCGAGTTCCTCCCCCTTCCCCCATTCTTCTCCCTAGAAATCATCTCCTCGACCATGATTAAAATTTTTTAATACACACTACCAAGTACTGCCAAGGACGTCTACCCTCGGATCTGTGACACGAAAAAAAAAAAAATCTTAATAATGAGCGCAGATGTAATGTGCATTGGATTTTATAGGAAAGTTGTAAAAAAAAAAAAAAAAAAAAGCTGTTGTTTTTTCTGTAACCAATATATATATATAATAATAATAATAATAGTAATAATAACACATTATAATATATGTTCGTATACAATATAATTACGTATGCCAGCATGTACGGCGTTTCACATCTAACATATGAATAATGTGGAGTCAAACTAAATTAAAACGTGTCCGTAACGTGGAAGCAATATCCTTCTGGGGAATAACAAAGATGTTTAACGAAACGATTTAGCCATAGATAGAGAGAGAATCAAATCGAATCATCGGCGCCACCGTCGAACTGCGGATATTGACTGAGCAGCAGCTTGCCTCCAGGGACGCCACCAACATTGGCCATCAGAGAGAGCGCCGATGTATATAATAATACATCTAGTGTCTATTAATTTAAAGTGGACCCTTCATCGATATCTCTCTGTTACCCCAATAACCCTGCGACTGGATTTAGTACCCCCCGTCTATGCGATTCGTGTGGACAATTAATATTACGGAACGAGAAGGACCAGCAGAGGCTGCCTGATGTAGCAGCATCCACTCCTCCTCTTATATCCCCCGTTCAGACCAAGTATTTCGGAGGGCCACTCAGCGCGACTTTGGCCCCCGTTGCAAATGACGTACCCATAATTAATTAACTCAAGGGATAACTAAGTACCTCTCCATACGCGCATGAAATTCCTATACCTGACTTTTTTTTTTTTTTTTTTTTTTTTTTTTCCTTCATACCCATGAGTGACTCAACACTCATTGTCGCGTAGCATTTTCCCAGCCGATGTCGTTACAACAACGAGCTGATATATACGTATACGCGAGGGTTATTCGTCATCGTCGACAAGCAACAATGTAATCAATTATAATACGTATAAATATAGTCGCCATAGCGCAGATGAAAAAAGTGCGCATATGTTTGTAAACATGTTCTCCAGGTTGCGCCGAGATCCCGCCCGCCCCGAGGTGATAGAAGATTGGGTTATTTATCCCAGAACAAACCTAGAGAGTCGGCGACTACGGAATCTCAACGCGGGAGGGGGGGGGGAGAAAATAAAGACGAGAAGCTAGCCGGGGCACGATTGTTAAGTGCAAAGCGAAGCATCAGCAGTATAACAGAGGCTGAGACGAACGAGGGATGAGATATTAAAAAATGGGAGTAGTAGGTGATGGCGCGCGTGGATGCAAAATCTCGCACTCGGGAGCTTTTCTGTTTTGTAAAGCGCGAGGGGACGGAATAAAAGATCTGACTCTGGAGGGATATGAGTGCGTGCGGGGGGATGCACGCAGAGTCAGCAAAACGGGTGGCGATGTAGCGGGCGGGCGTGCATGCAGCGTTTTAAAAGCAGCGCGTCATCTCTCTCTCTGGGACACTTATCGCTGAGAGCCGAGGGCTCGAGTTTCAAGACGGGGAGTCCCGCGCGATAGGTCGAAAACAATCATCATCAGCAGCCTCGGGTTTGCCGCGATGGACGAATCGTGTGCGTGCGTGTGAACTCGGGACTGTGTGTGTGTATAGGTTTACTTTTTTTTTAATTTTTTTTTCTTTCTTCACACCTATACTTTCTCTGTGTTTTTGATGCCTCTATTAACAAATGACTTTCTTTTCGTCTCTTTTTCGGGCACGCGTCCAACCAATTTTCAAAGTCATAACAAAGAAAGACGAAATTACAATACCTACATTAAAAAAGCTCCGGTTACATGATTTTTTTTTTTTTTTTTAATTAGTACCAAGAGGTAAACGAGAAAAAGCGAGAGAGGCACGCCAATCTATCGCCGGATAAACGGGCGTGGGTAGATACGGTGTATACACATCCCTCGAAAGAGCGCGGGCCGAACAAAGAGCAGGAAGCGTCTCTCTCTCTACCCCTTCCTCTGCAACTGTATATAGTTTCCTTCGCAATCCGAGCTGTGCTTCGATGTGTGTGTGTGTGTGTGTGTGTGTGTCGATTGTCCTCGCCCGCACCCTCTCTCCTCTTTTCACCTGTGGAAAAATTGCAACGATGCGCGCACTTTTCATTCTTCGACCCGGTGTTTCATCGCGGCAGGAAAATTAAACAAGCCTTTTTTTTCTTCTTCCCTACGGAATGGAAAAATAATAAAAGATCGCCCCCCCCTCCTTCCCGTGCGCGAGTATAAAAATATTTTTAATGACGACACCGA